CAGAGCACTGGCAAGACATACAATGTGGTATGCATAGATGTAAGAGGAGGAATTCAGACAGAAGCAAATATTTTCTCTCTCATACTTCAAGATGCTTTGTTACAGTCAGTTCATATGCAAAGTGACAAGGAGCAAGCTATTATGGTAAGGGTCTGTGGCTGCATTGTCTATATGGCCCTGTGGTTTCCCAAGAAACCCATGTCTGCATCCAGTAGATTTAAATTTGCATTATAGCACATGTGCTATTATTGAAAAGTTTGTAGAGATCCACAGATCCAAAATTTCTTGTACCACCCTTTTGTTTGACCACATAAACATGCAATAGGAGCAGGATTACCTTGTGATAAGTATTTCCAATTACAGGCTGACCCAAAGCAGAATCCCAAAGCTGACCATCACTAGCTCTGCAACAGCTCAGCTCTAGATTCATGTGTCTCTTATGACAAGCTAAAAACACAGATCAAGCAGCCCAAAACACTGAATTTGGCATGTTTGTTCTACGCATATTGTGCTTCACTAAAACAGTGCACAGATTTACAAAACTAATTCATTTTGGTTTTAAAATTAACTGACAGGATTCAAAACACTCAGTTACCTAGATCTTTAGTCAAAATGGCCTTGTAGTATTTCCTCTGCAGAGCTGACATTCCATGGTACAGAACCACTTCCACCTTCTTTGGCAGCTCAGCAGCCACCTCAGATTTGACTCTTCGAAGCAAAAATGGCTGCAGAAGACTGTGCAATTCTTTGGCTGTGCAGAGGCAGGGAAAAAGAAAAGAGATTACTGCATTAAATGTAAGAAATTTATACAGTACCTTCACAACTATATTTTTAAAATAAATTTATAAGGAACCTTACACCTATCAGTGAAAAGATTCAAGCCAAATTTTACAAACAGAGAACTCAAAACATAGCTGCTTATCTGAAATACTTAAGAGCTACATTAAGGTAAGTAATCCTTACTTTCAGTGGCTTTGTTTTAAAGCTCATCAGCATTGAGAGAAAGCAAATGAAGAGGACACAACATGCCTGCTTCCTAGTCAAGATAACAGTTGGTTCTAACTGAAGTTCAGTGTTGCTTATTACTGACCTGGCTCACTCTCCTTTTCAATCCCTTGGTAATACTCAACAAACTCCTTCACTTCTTCCCTAGGAAAGATATCAGGCTCAATAAGGCTGAGTAAGGAGTACAGTTCCTGGAGGCTGTTCTGGATTGGAGTGCCTGTGAGTAGCAGGGTGAAGCCTACTGAGAACTGAAAGAACCAGCAATAAAACAAAATTATCAGGAGAAAATAGCTGAAATTAGAAGTTACTTAACATACAACTACACCCACACCACTCTTAAGCTTTACCTAAAGATGACAGGTGGCACAGAACTGCCCATAGGATGCTGCAAGTGTCTGCTGGAACAATCCAACAAAAGGAACAGTGTGACAGTCAAACAACTCCACCCAACCGACTAGGATGGCACCAACACAACCGAGACTGTGCAAGCAAAGTAAAAACAAAGTGCAAAACTGACACCATTAAAATTCTCAGACCTGTGCTCTCTAGAGCCTAGTACTGCCTACTCAGTGTTAGGTAATGATGACTGGAAAATGCTGTTGGAGTAAGACAGTGAAATGAAATTACAGAATACTACGATCCATTTCTATTTGCTGGCTAACTGACAAACACAGTAACATTATCTGATCCATGTTGCTAACACCTGTAAGGAGACTTGGGGAATATGGCTACCTTTGAAGAAATACAAGTCTTCTCTCATGTTTGGTCATAGAAAATACATTAGGAGAGCTAAGGGGAACCATGCCTATTTCTTTGTGACTATAACCAAAGTTCCTGAAATGCACACTATGTTCAGAAGATAGAAGACTTTCAGGAATTTAATTAAAAAAAATATGTTTAAAGGTACTGTAGTTCACTGCTGATGATGCCCAGATCTAATGCCCATGTTTCATTGCCATGACGACTGCAGCCTTCTCTCAGGCACTCTCTGTACCCTGGCAGAGTGATTTGGAAGCTTGCTCAATTCTGCTAATTTCAATAAACAAGAGTGGCTCCATTAAACGGGACTATGGAAGTCAATAGTTCATTACTCGAGGTCCCATGAACTAGGCAAAGATTCCTTCACCCTCCCAGAGCTGGAGATGGCCTATTGTTGCTTCGTATTGTCTTAAGTCAGCCAGATTTCTATCACTTCAGTAGCATAGCTGTGGTTCAGCACTATGTCTGTCTGCTCTACACTTTTAAGTCTCTCAAATTTCTCCAACGTGTCAAGCCCAAACACGAGAGAGAATGAGAGAGAAGCTCCAAATACTGCCCACCTCCACGCAAAGCCAACAAGATAGGCCTCTGTCTCCCACTAAATATGGGAATCTGTTCACCAACTATGACAGAAACTGGTTTTGGCTCAATCAAAGCAATAAACAGACAAGCAGAAAAAGTCTTCAGACACTAAAAGATAGATGAATTATTTTACCTCAGAAAGCGTCTTGTAAAGCAGAGAACTTTGATTTTTCAGTCTGTGAGCTTCATCCACAACCAAGGCAGCCCAGTTAAATCTGAAGAAACATAAAACAGCATTTTCAGTTAGGGGCTGACAATTCACTCTTGTAAGTACAAAAAGTCGGAAATAAGTGGTGGCTCTGAAGGGCTGGACTGGAGATGGTCCCACCCCACGAATGACAAGCAAACGTTACAAGTAGGATTGGAGGAATTTAGAAGTACTAGCTTTCAAGAGCCAACACAACTTCGTAACTGTAGGCAGCATAGTTTTTCTGAAATCAAAACTAAGTAAAATGCGCTTGAACTTCTGGCTTCTCTTGCCATCCCTGTTTCTATGGGGAAATTACATAAACACAAGTCAGTCAAACGCTTAAGGAGGTCTATGATTTGCAAAAAAAGAGACACAAAAACTAGGTCCCACCACTTATGCAAAAACCCAACAACTATGATGAGGGAGAAATGCCATTACAAGCCTTTTGCAAATCACCTAAGGCAGGAGCTTCAACTTGTTCTGAGCTTGATACAGATACATGCAGTGTCTCATCAAGTAATCTTCAGAATCACTGGTGATCTAGTAGATCCACACTAGGCTCAATACAAGCTCCAGATTTTTTCAGTCCTCAGTGTTTTTGCCTGCTTGTCACTTGGGTTTCAACTCCCACATCACAGAATGATTTCCACAGTCAAGTCTAGCTGATGGGTAGGCAGGGGACGGAAAGCATGACCCTTCAGTTTTTATTACCCACATGCCTCTCATTCTGGTGGAACAGAAGGGCAGAAATCACAGTGACCTGCATTCTCCTCACAGCTCTTCTGTTTCACTTCACTCCCCTCTTTGCTATTTAAAAGTGGCTCTCCATTGCCAGCACGGTCAAATGTCATTAATCTTATCCTACAGGCACAGCAACTGACTGGCACACGGGAGGCTTCAGTGTGAAGCACTGCAAAAGCTCATGTGCAGAGCAGAGTCTGATCTCTCAGGCATTAAATTAGAGCAGAGCTCTTGCTCAACTCATTTGTGCTGTTACACTGCTGGTAAGGAGTGGTGGTGGTGGGACATCTGATAACTCTTGACCTAACTTTACAAATGGTTTCAAATGCTCCTACACAGGACAAAGTACAAACGATTAGCAACCACTTTTTTCAGAAGGAATACTAGAGGACAAATAAGCCCCAAACTTGAGTGACACAGCTTTGAGGTTACATGCTTGCCTTTAAAGTAAGAAACAGCAATGGAGCTGAGGCTTCTGTGATACTAGGGCTAGTTATGTGCTTTCCCTGGGTATTACAAATCAGGGCTAAGCTGCAAAATAAGGGAAAACATACACAGCAGTGCAGGACATTATATGAAACTATAAGGACAGTATGGCCACAGCTACCTTTCATATGGCCTGGCTCCTATCTTGATGTGCTCATCCAGCACAACCTCCTATTTCCAGCAGCGGCCAAAGGCAGCTGCTTTGCAGACAGACAACAGGGCACCCACAGCAGGCCTGATTATTTAAGTGAGATGCAAAACGGTGTCAGTGGGAGTCCCTGGGTTTCTGCTCCTACAAAGATCCTGAGCCATTCTTAGTATCTGGCTGCTCCCAGCATTTGTTACACCACTAAGCACTATTGCAAAGTATTGGTGCTATTACTACACAGGAAATTCCTCCCAATTTTGTAAAACCCTGCATGAGCATGAGGATGCTTCCTATGGGCTGAACTTCAGCTGTGCAATCAGTTTTGCTAGAAAGCATAATGCTCCATAAACCCTCCATAGTTCTGATTAGTGGTAAGAGGCAATAAACTTCAAGATGTGGTACTAGCACATGATCACTACAGCATAATGGTCAATCTCATAAAATTTTGCATCTAATACCTTTATAATCTGAAGCTCTTGAAGAGCTCTAGTCTAAACATCAGCCTTCTGGACTGATGATAGTGTACTGCTATAAGCCCCTGTGCATCGTATTATTTTGAGATAATTGGCTTGAAAACTGCACTTGGGGGAAGTTCATGTATATCTCAGCTGACATTAGAGATTCTTCACTGAAAGCTGGTAAAGACAAAGCTCTAGTCACATGCAGAGAACACCCCTGGCCCTTGTGAAACAAGTGTGGGATCTCACAAACATACAAACGTACACTTTGGAAATCACTGACAGACATGCAGAATTTACTTTGAAAAAAATTAAAACCAGACTCACGATTTTAGAAATGCTGCATCTTTCAGACAGATCTGCAATGAAAGGAAATGAACCATGGTTTAAGACTTAAGTTAATACATCAGTTAAGAATCAGAGCATCTTTTTGTCTGCTTACAACTAGGGTGGAATGGAGGAGAGTGGAATGAAACCATTTATTATCCGAGGAAATTAACAGGACAGCTATTGTAACCACAAGCTCTTGTGATCTCCTACATTTTAACACTTGCCTGGCAAAACACCAGCAGTAGAACCTCAGAGAATTAATGGAAATTTATGCACACCAACAATGCTCTTCACTTCTGTAAAGTTTTACATCTCTTTCTCACTTAGTAAGAAACACCATACACAATTTTTTTTCACTCTAATCAAACATATGCTTCAGTGAGTTAATCTAAACTATAGCAATGACCTGACAGTATCTTAAAGTGTACGCATTGCTTGCCCAGCTTCAGATTCAGAGGAAGAGAAATAAAGTCACTTAAGAGAAATCCTTAAAAAGCACAACATTTTGCTATCAAAAGCAAAAGAGACAAGAACAATTCTAGCTAAGTGAGTATCTTGAAACAGTGGATCACTTTCTTGGATTTGCTTCAGCATCATATTGCTCCATTTATCACATTCAGGACAAGGGTTATCACTGCTACCCACTCCTGCTTGTGCAACACAGAAAAAGTTTCAGGTTCAAAGTGGTCAGCATAGGTCACACAATTCCCAGTGGGAAGAGACAGTAAAAAACTTGGAGAGGGAAAGCAAAAAGGCAAAGGGAAAGGAAGATCAGAAGGGGAATCAGGGAAGGAGCCATAGGAGAGGCTTTTCATCTAACGTCAAGTTGATGTGTTTGTTAAGAGATTGTTAAAATAAAAGTGTTGATATGAAGTTAGACCTGAGTGTGACTGACTCCTAAGAGAAAAATAAGGGCTTTTTCCCACTCCAGATAACTAAGGACCAAATCATGCAAGATACAAAGCAGTGACCAAAGAAGCAACTCTATTCTGGCTGGTTCCATTCACAGCAGGACAGGAAGTTCTCAGGCGTGCTCTGATCAGATTCAGCCCAAAGTCCTACCAACTGTAACAGGAACCTCACAACTTTGCAGTCCAGAAATAACAGTTTTGTCTGAGAAGGGTGTGCTGAAGAGGGCATGAAAAGGCAAACTCTTACTTCTAAGTGTCCTTGCATTGCCTGATCAACAGAATATTAATAAACATCACACATGTGTACACTTCTATGAAATGCTAAAGGTCTGTAAGGCACCAAGCAAAGACAATGCAGATAGCATTTAGCAGTAGTTAAGGATGGACATGTGTCTTTCTGCTTACTCGAGGTGTGATACAACTATGCAGTAAAGCTGGGGTTAGAATAGATTATCTTAGGGACACAAAAACTACAGCAACTTGGATCAGTTTGTGAAGTGGGTTACAGAGTAAAAAATCACTGAGGAAGGTCAGAGATGAGTACGGAGGACAAGGCATAAGCTCGCTGGTACAGAGAACAGAAAAGGAGAGGGAAAACTTAAGCCTTCCTTTCAAGTGACAAAAACATCACGTGCCTCGTAGGTTGTCAAAAGCACAGGGAAGTGAGATTGCTCTTTCATGTTCTGCTGCAGTTTGGGTCGTTCCTCCTTGTTGCCTATGTATGTCACAAAGGAAAGACCTGGAGCAAACCTGTGGTCAAGAGGAAGACAGAGAGAAAACAATCAGCCACACTAAGTCTTTCATGTGTTTATAACCCTGGACCCCATTATCAAGGACAGCTACTGCACAGATGATGAGAACCTCCTGTTCAAACACCTTGCTCTCCTGGGAGATGTAGCTGGATCTCAGCTTGTGAATCTCACCCCTTCCTGATTAATTTGCTTCTCAGGTTGGCACCTCAGCTCAGTTCTGGTTTGGACAAGTCCTAAAGAAACTGCATTCCCCAAGGTCTCAAAAGTCCAAGGCAGATGACTGAAAACCAGTTTCTTGGCCGACTTGTTACTTTTAACTGAAAAAGCTCATGAGAAGCAGGTGAATGAATACAGTTTGCCCAGCTGGGACCAAAGAATTGGCCTAAATCATGCTAAAATACAGGTAAACAATGTCTGCAGCAAAGACGTCTGTAGCCAGGGTCTGGCGGCCGGAAGATCTCGCGCTGTACAGAAAGACAGGGCTCCACGCCCCCCCCCGCGGTGATGTCACGGACGGATGTGACGTCACTCAGGCTATATAATACCAAGCCGCATGTTAATAAACGCCATTTTGCTTTCCACCACGTTGGTGCTTGTGTGCATGTGGCCCGAGCGACCAGGGGTTGGTCGCCGTGCCGTTACTGAACCAGGTCGCCCTTGCCTGCCAGAAGGCAACAGACGTCCAAGTCAGGGCCTCAATAATCTACCCTATTAATCAAAAAGCAGATATAACCAGTTCCATGGATGGAGAGTTGGGACCATAAAATTTTTCCCTCATTTAATCCCACCACCGATATTTGTCTAATGTTCCTTCTGGATAGCTGTTCACTGCTGATCTATGAAGGGAAGCACTTTCCCCCAGCTATTCCAACCAGGAGTCTATCCAAGTCAGGCCAGCTCACTTCAGAATGGAACCTGTATGACTTCAGATGCTGAGAGATAGCATCACCCAACGGCCACACAGACAGACTTCTGTTCCAATGTTTAACTTTCTGCCCCTTCCTCTTGAAAGGAATCTTTGGGCTCCAGCTTAAAAGTGTGTAAATTCTGGGTGTAGCAAATGAGCCCTCAGCACAGTCCTGGCACCCCAGAGAGGATGGGCTGCATGCATGGATGTAATGTATTTTGCATGCATGTGTGAGCATGCCAAGAAAGATACTATTCAGCCTGGGTCTTACCTTTCAACATACAGAATCCTGGCTGTCTTCAGCAGATTCTGCCTTAGAGAGGCTGAGCATGGAGAGTTACAAATCAATAAAAAGCAAGGAGCTAGTGGTGGCATTTGGACAGCCAGCCAGCACTGCAAGCTGGAGGAGCTCACATAAACCACAGCATTGTAAGGCTCACGAATTAACTGCATAGTCTGTATTGATTTGTTGGTTTAGTAGTTTCCCTTTTTGCTATTTTTTCCTATTGAAAGGAAGAAAATTGTTGGACTGAGCAAATTTTTAAAGAAGCTTTGTAACTTGCTGTGCAAAAATATGATGAGCCAGGCAGCTGTTGAAACTTACCTCTCCAATTCCTCCTTCCAGTTGCTCAGAACAGACAGGGGACAAAGTATCAGAAATCTCTCCTTGTCAGTTATTTTTTTTGTCAAATAAAGAAGTAGAGAAATAGTCTAGAAGGCAAGGAAAATATTTTATTTTATAACAAGGAAAGGGTTCAATCCAATAGCCTGAACCTGCTTAAACTGTTGACTCATTGAGCTTTGTAGCTAGTTCCCACAGGCTCATCAAATACTTATTGAGACCCACCATCAATGACAAAAAAGCTTAGATTCCAGAATGTGAACTTGGTATCTGCAGCCAATTTCCAAAGCCCTTTCTCCCAGTCACAAACAAGGTCTACCATGCACCACTTTCTGAAAGTACCAGTTTGTTATTTAAGACACACCAACTACCACCAGTCGAAGCAAAGCTCAAAGTCATTTTTCAGCAAGACTGAAACCCACTGAAAAACTTATCAAAAAACCCCACCACAAACCTGTGAAAAATTTACACTTGCAAGTTTTAATCCACGTGTGGACAAGCTCAAAAATCATCTTGGTGCGGATGCATCAACATAACATCATCCTCTCTGTACCCGATGTATATTGCACCTCCAACCCTGCACGCCATGAATTATGCATTAAGGTGTCTGTCTAAAATGACCACTCACCTTCTTCGAGTTAAATCTTTTTGGAGTGTTACTTAGGACTTAACAGTTATTTTAAGTGATTAAGAAATGAAAGAAACAATAAGCTCTCTCTCGAGCACAAACTCCAGGATGAGGCTGTTTAAACTCATCAAGCATTAGGGCGCTTTATCTTCCTCATCCTGCAGAAACACTAGGCTGAAAATAAAGAAGTGAGGCAAAGATAATTTTCTAGAAGAAAACAAACCTGACAAGTCTTCCCAAGACCCATCTCATCTCCCAGGATACAGCCATGCTGGACTTCGTGGCATTGCACCAGCCACTTTACACCTTCTATTTGATAAGGACGGAGCTGAATGCCTGGCAGGAAAAGCAATCTGTTAACATTTACACAGTCATCCAGTACACACTATACACACCTCGAAGCCATCAGAAACACGTCCTGCCCAGACCAGGCCATCCCAAGCACCTGCCTTACAGGAAAAGCACACCAGCTCTCAGCAGAAGCTGGTTTACTCTGCTGGAGAGCAGCAACTCGAGAGTTACAAGTGGTAACACTACATTAATCATATTCAGGAACTTGCACACACAAAAAATGCCCCAAGTCATTACAACGGCCTGTGAAAGGAACCTAATCTGATAATTAAGCTGCTACTTTGCATTCTTGAAAGACAGCTCGGTTTTCAGCTCCACCCTTTAAAATACTCAAGTACTAGACCCAGGGACGCGCTTTAGGCTACCAGAGCTGTTTGTAACAACCCACTATTGTATAATAATCGTTTCTCAGCGAGACGTTTTCCAGCTTTCCTGCCCTGCAGCTGGGGCAGACCTCAGTCACAGGCCACCGCAGCTAGCAGCACCACCGACATCCCCACTACGGACCACAGGAGGTATAAAAAAACCCCAACAAACAAGTCAAGTAGGAGCTCTCAAGATCTTTTCCTGATACCCGGACTCGAAGGCTGTGTGTTGTGAATGACCTCGCCCCACGGCCACCTTCTCCTCCCCGGGTAAACACGCGGGCTGAGCACCAGGAACTCACAGACCCGCACGGGGCTGAAAGCCGGGCCCTCCTGCTCCGCGGGAAAGCCCTCGGACACGTTCCCGCCCAACTCCCGGCC